AGCTTTTATCTTGCCCAGTGTTTTGTTTCAACTGTTGGTATTGCTACTGTTACATTTGAAAATTCGATTCGAAATCCAAACAGTGGACAACTATTGCGATCCTCAAATGGCAATAAAAACTGCGGTAAATTTCAAATAATAGAATCACTTTAGTAAAAAAAAAAAATTCAAATTGAGTAACATTAAAATCTACAACGGTAATATAACATCAATAGCATGCATTTAAAATATTCAATGTTAAAGAATAAGACATTGTCTGAGAACTGCTCACGACAAAGAAATCTACAATAAGTTAGTGTGAAAGGTTACATTAAAATTGCATGCACTGCCACGCCCCCATCCGGTAACGACGTGAATCGCGCTATAGTATCTCACTACTGTAGTAGTGCAACAGTTAGAAAGATTGATGCTACGTTAAAGCACTAGGGAAGTGGGTAAATTGTATAATTGATTTCATATGACTGCCTTGTTGTCTTGTCTAGTGGTTCGAAACGTGACTGCTTATTATTTGGTCTCTCGGCTTCGAATCCCGGGTCGGACGAAACTGTGTTATTGGGTTTTTCCGTCAAGATATTCTCAATAACCCGAAGTAAGGAAGTTGGCAGTTTCACTTACGCGCCTCTTAAAGCACGTAAAGCCGTTGGTCCTGTGCCTGATCTCTCTCTGCTCGAAATGGATTACCGTCCCATCGGACTATGAAAGTGAGGGAATAGAGAGCGTACCTATGATTGCACACACACCACGCACTATAATTTTGCCCTGTTCAGATAGCTATATTCCCCTTTCAGCCGCCGTGGCCGAAATTAAGTATTAAGGACATTATTGATTCGCACATTAAAAAATGATAAATCTGCATTTTTAAGTGGTAGAGCCACGCTGTATTCTGATCTGAGAAAAACTACGCTCAGAATACCAGCGTGAAATAGCACTGTAATGCTGTTAAATTTCGTATGATGAATGATGACAACAGGAGAACCTTTTTAATGGCAACGAAGCATTTCATATTAGTGATAAATAGTGAAAACGTATTTACGTTTTATTTTTAGTCAATGATTGACAGACACCTATCTCTAGATATAGAATAGGGAGCTTTAAAACCCCCCATTCTTATTAATGAATCATGACATCAATTCCTTGTGGACTACCTCGTTGTGAATAATCTGTTTACTTCATGTTTTTCGGCAATTTTTAATTATTAAAATATACAATATTTATTACAATTAAAAAAAACTATAACTAAAATGTTAAATTATTATATAGTCCTAATCTCCGCAATGTAACAAGAACGCTAGCTGCGTTCAGTCGCTGAATGACTATACTTAACCTTTGAGCAAGAAAATCTCAATTGAAAAACAGCAAATGTCTTTATATTTATTTAAATTTCCTTACAAATTATAGCGAATGTAGATAGTTGAAAATAACATGCTGTAAAACTTAACCTTAAAATACAACAAACAAGAAAAAATCACCATCATAAATAAGGCAGATATAACTAAAAACAAATAAAGTTAAGCCACCTTGAAGGAAAAAATCTACAAAAAACAGCTAATAATAACAATATTTTGTAGTGTCTTATCTCCTTATCCATGTAAAATTTGATTTTTTTTGTACGCAGTCTTTTTCTACTTAATAGTGACTTAGTTTCACCGTCATAGAGAGAGTAGGGGGGGGGTTAGTTAATTTGTAACCTTCCTTCCGTGCACCTCGTGCCATTCGATGTAATCAAAAGATATCGGAGTGGGAAACTAGCATTATTGGCAAATTTTTTGTTACTAAAAGAACGGTCTCTTTTTAATTAAAAACTTTTGCCGTGTTGCTGCGACGTGAGAGAATCCACCGCACTATTTCGTTTCGTGTGTATATCAAGAGGAGAATATGCGAAAGTAAAAATTAATATGTAGCCAAAATAGAGGGAACAAGATTGTGGAACCTTACGTTAATAATTATAAATTTTAACAAAAAGTAAAAACTGACTTCAAATTGCTAAAAAAGAAGTTATTTATTTGCTACTCTTAGGGGCAGAATTTTTTCTCTAAATTTATATGGGGCTACTCTTAAAGTATATCCTATTAAATAAAAAAAATAATCACGATTATTGGTTCACAATCTGCAAAGATATCGCGTAACATACATACTAAAAAAACATACAATCCAATTGAGAACCCCCACCTTCTAGTATAGAATAATTTTTATTCATTATAGATCATTACATAATACTTATTGAAACTCATTTTTTTATTTACCATAATCAAGAAGTAAGCTGAAAATCGAGACAAACCATTACTATGAACATTTAGTACAATTATTTGTTACTAGTGACCCGCACTGGTTCTGCCTAGGTTGGATGTATTAATGTGGTATTATTTAGATATAGGATGAACATCAAAGACCATTTATTTTATTAATTGTTTTATTTCTCAAAAATATAAAACAACACCATGTAAATCACTCCTAGCGTTACTCTGTACGTGAAGTTTCATTAGTAGGCTCAGCCATTCCGAAGATTATCCCAAGCAGAGAGACAGGCAAGAATTTTAAAAATGGTTATTTATATCTTTACCGTATGAAGATTTTATTTATATCTGCATGCATAATATAGTTTGAATTTAAGCTAAAATAATTTAAAATTAAAATTGATAGAGTTTAAGCCGTAAACAGTAGAAATAAATATTAAAAACAAAAATACTCTCTCCGTTACTAACAATAAGGTTATCGAACATCGACATCGGTAAAGCAGTGAGCAAACTCTATTGTTTGATTGTAATATGCTTATCAAAAATAACCACTAATTTTAATTTGTTATAACATGTATGAATAACGGACCATACAATTAAACGTTTGTCTCACGACCACACTACACAATGTAAGAACTTATCTATCTTAACTCATAACGATGTGAGAGAATGGTATTGTTTGCAATTCGCAGGTGCAAACCGCGGATGTAGTTTCATTAACATGCTTTGCAGAGATAATGTAAAATATCGTCAATAACCATTCACCCGCTGACTTCTTCAGGAAAAGCAATAAGGACAAAAAATAAAACTTTTTAGTTATAACAAAATATTTGTCTTGTAATTTAAGCCATCTAGTCTCAGTTCATTTTAGGTACAAATGAAAATTTTACATATTTTGTTACAGCCTATCTATTTCTGAACATAAGCATAGATTACCTCATAGGGAGGATATTTGCCATACTTACCACGCTTAGCAAGCGGCTTGGCAACCGCAGTTTTTAGGGTTCCGTACCTCAAAAGGAAAAAACGGAACCCTTATAGGATCACTTTGTTGTCCGTCTGTCTGTCTGTCTGTCTGACAGACAGACAGACGAGACCCTTTTTCTCAGGAACGCGTAGAGGTATCAAGCTGAAATTCATATGAAATACTCATGTCTACTGTCCTTTGGAGCTGTGAAAAAATCAAACTTCTAAGCCAACGCAATGAAAAGATACAGCCGTTTATGCCGCAAATTTTCGACATTCGCAAGGAAATCAAAACCTACAGGGTACTTCCCGTGAACTCAGAATCTGAAAATTTGATACGAAGCATCGTATTATAGCACAGATAAAGGAAAAATTGCGAATAGCATAAATTTTTAGTTACATCATATAATAAAAATATTTTTAATAATTTTAAACTTATATACCTACGTATTTGTTCGGAACCCTCGGTGCGTGACTCCGACTCGCACTTGGCCGGTTTTTTTATTTTTAGTCGTTATTAGGAAGACGCTGCTGCCCATTTCCTGATTTGTTTCCCTCTGTCGCCTTACAGTGTTATTATAATGTCACATCGCATCTTATTATAATATGAATAAAAATAATTGAATCCCTAGTCCAAAGTTTCTCGTTATAGTGATGATATATGAATGATAGAAATGTTATGGCAATATATTGCCATACAGTCCCACTGCTGGGCACAAGCTTCCTCTTATTTCTGATGGGGTTATGTAGGGTTATGTCTACCGTATTCCTCCAGTACGTTTTCCAGGACATTACACATATCCCCGAAATATTATCCACAGACTTGCTGGTTCCTACACATAGTTTTTCTTCACCAGCGGGTACGTGCTAAATCAGCATTTAAAAAAGGAAATTAATAATTTCATTGGTACAGAATAAATAATAGTACTACGTACAGAAGTTGCACTCTTTTGATGTTGACTGTTTGCCGACGTTTTAATAGCCTACATAATTATTATTAATAAGATAAATCGCGCACGCAAGCTAAATAAAACTTTATCGCTGCGCGCGGAGCGCGGACACTCGCATTATTTGGATCTTTTCCCCTTCCTACGTCACGACGGACTTTCCGTGGTTACTAAGGGCTGTAAATAAAGAGTAATAAAATACATTGTGAAATGATAAGTAAGTTACTTAGGTAAAGTACCTATACTGACTATGATCGACCATATTGTTTGGCTCTGAACAAATAGGTAGATAGTGTAAACAACAAATAAACCCGAAGTACGATTCCTAACACAAATTTGATCGTATTCTAATTAGTTAAAAATCTTCTAAACAACGTTTTATTTTCAGTATTTTGTGTTATTATTACTTTTAAACTTTTTCAACTAGATACTTATATTTTATCCTACAATTAAATTTTCTAAACACTAAACAAAAACTATTTCGACGAGTATTTCAACAAATATTTACAAAAAACTATTTACGTAAACAGCGTTAAAAAACTTTAACATTCAATCGCCTAGAACGTGCTAGCCGCGACTGCGTTATATCCCGGGGGCGCTTCGCGATTGTGGGTAATTATTTCATGCAGGTAGCAAGAGTGACAGAGGCCTGGTACTGGTGGGAAAATCTGGTGGTATGCATACTGTGAAAATTAAGTTGAAGACGGCTTATTATTACGGCTTTCTATATATATATATATATATATATATATATATATATATATATATATTAACAGTATATTGTGATTGCCTGAAAATACGGTGATGATAATGTTTTGGCATTCCCACAGGCTATTCTTATGATCCGGACTGCATGTACATTAACGGGTCCGGTCGGGATTACTATGAGTTTTACATACAACTCAACCGATGCGGCACTCTAGGGAGAAACGGCCAGCATGAAGATATAAAGGAACATCCCACTGTAAGTAAAATAACAGCCTATATGCTTTCCACATATGCTAAACACAAGCGAACTATTATTTATGTGAGGGTTATGCAGTAGTAAGTCCAGCGCACTGCTACAGTATGTTACGGAGGACTTCACATGTCCACGCACGTAGTGGATCGGAACTTAAAATTAAATTAACAATTTCATCGGTGACAAACTGATTTGGAACAAACTCAGGTTGCTAGCGTACACTGAACCGCGACCCGTCCCTGATTGACCACGTCTTCGGTCCGACTCAGAATAATTTGAACCTACAGATTTATTTGAAAAGGCTCTTGAAATATGTTGTTGGCTACTTCCAATGTAGTAGCCGAAAGTACAGTTACATGTAAGGTGTTTAGAGAGAATAATATTAGTATTTCCATAATACTGTGAAACCTGGATAACTGGGACCTTAAGGGACCTGCAAATTTGTCTCACTTAAAGAGGTATTCCACTTACCCAATGTTTCAGATATCCAGGTATAAATAAATATCTGTCTCATTTACAGAGGGTTCCATTAATAGAGGTGAAAATAGAGGTTATTTTAGTTATAGAGGTGCGATTATTAAATAAAATAACGTATTTTGTAAACATAATACATAAATATTCGGACGATAGCAAAACCAAACTAAAACTGGAGGTCACTTTTACACAATTAGCCATGTGCGGAATTTGCGGGTAGAATAAAAATTAGTAAACAAAACGGTACACAAAATATAGTCTCAGTAAAAGAGGTAAACTACGCTCGGTGTCTCAATTATAGAGGTAATTACGACGATAAGATCGAAAGAACTAATCCCAGATATAGAGGTTTGTTTTGTCCCACTAACAGAGGTAATTAAGTGCTAAAGTGACGGGACCTAAGCATGAGTTCCAGCTATGGAGGTTTTTTACTTATCCAGGTCCCACTTAACCAAGTTTTACTGTATTTAAATATAATTTGTTGTGTTAAGTTTTGTGAATTGTTATGTTGTCTTCTTAATTTGCGTTCTAGACCATAAAATTACAAGATTATATTTAAAAAAGACATTAGTAAAACATAATAAATATGTATACAGAGTTATTTTCCAAAAAGTAGCCAAATTTTAAACTTAAGTTCAATAATTAATGATATACCGTTTATGCAGTTTTTGAAAATACGAGTAATAGTCTAAGAGCCAGTAAGCGGCAGACTTACGGTATTTCAATAAGCTTCACGTTTTTTTCAGTTAATCCCCTATACCTCATGTATATGAAATGGGGACTCTTTAATTTGACCGGCAGTTGATATAGTGACGCTCAGGTGTGAAAGGTGTAAAAAATGACGTAAAAAAATGATCGAAAAAAAAACGTGAAATTAATAATTCTGTCGCTTTGATATCTTGAAATATTCAATAAAAGTTACGTTAAGAAAAATAACATTGGCAGACACCTATGGCGGTCCAGCAGACAAGTTGACAAGTACTTTTTCTTAATAATTTACGTTATTTCAATAAAGCTACAATTTATATATGTTGTTGATAATATTATTTGACATATATATTTTGCATGACAGATATATGGAAGTCCTACCCAGGCAGACAACAAACTTTAGTGGCATTCATGCCGCTCACTGGCTCTTAATTTATAAATAAGGCTTCTACTTCTTGTATTTGAAATCATCCCAAATTGAATGTGATTTATGGGCAACATGGTTTTTGCTTACGGATCGACCCTTGCTGATGTGTGCGTGCGCAGTAAAATCAGTTAAAATAATGCATACTACGCATTTTGAATTTAAAAGATAAAAAGGATACAATGTTTGAGATTTTTTTTATTAATTTTTCTTCACCATTTGCCTATATTACTTATTCTGAACCTTCTCTGCAAATTTGGTCGGTTATTGCAAAATAACCATGTATATGTAATAACTTTTACAACAAGATAGAAAACTGTAAAAAAATAAAATATTTATAATTTATTTCTTTCGCACAGAAGAACCTGATGTGGAACACGATCACCGTTCAATACAATCCGCTTATTGAAGAGGAGCTGGACGAACACTTCAAAGTCACTTGCGAATATGGTTACGACTTCTGGAAGACTGTTACATTTCCTTTTCTCGACGTTGAGTAAGTTAATTATATTATTATTTTGTTAATTACTAGGCAAAAGTACAAAATAATATTTCCAAATTAAGGAGGACCTGCCGTAATTGCCATGATAGAAAGGCGAATTGATGATCATTAAGAATGACAACGCAATGCAATGAATGTTTGGTATGGTAATATAGACTCTTTGTAATTGTATCCTTACGTTGTTGCTCCTGGTCGACAGTCTAGGTATTTGATAGTTTTATGGCCATTAGTTAGTTATTCGGGCACCAGTGAATGTTATTCCGTCATCTAAAAACAGATGTCGCGCAGCCTTTCATTGAACTGGCTCTCTTACCCGTGGAAAGTTGTTTAAAGCACTCTAAAATTTTGTTAACAGTTCCAACAGTCAACAGTGATTTATATCTACTATGAGATATAGAATGAAAAGTCTAGCTGAACGATCTTTTATTATTATCTACTTATAATTTATATAATTGTTTAATGTGAATTAAAAAGTGACTTTTTAAATCAATAACCGATACATACAACAAATAAATTCAAGATATTTTTGATTACAAAAGAAGCGGCAATAAGTGTATAGAAACGGTAAAATAAATTACGTATAGGTATATTAAAATAAAATTTTTACACATCGACGAACATACACACACACACATAAAGGCGCGGTCGCTCAGATGCACTTGACAGCCATCGTCAGATGCTATAATTATCACAATTTTCTTTTATTTAATATTATTGTTAGCTGTGACATTTTTTTTTTACTTATTATAAGCCAGTGCTTGACTACAATCCCAATCAATTTAAATGTAAGACTTTGCGCTATATTTTTAATGTAGTTTTAAGTATGTTGAATTGCCTAAAAGAAATGAATGCATGTAGAGTGGCAACGGGCAACCCGGTGGTGTTCACGCTGCAGCCGCCGGAATGCTACATGGAGATCCGAGCGGGCTACGGCGCGGGCGGCGCTCGCATCTCAGGCCCTGTACGCGTCGGGGACCCGCTGACGCTCCTCATCTACATGAGGAGCGCTTATGGTGAGTATAGTAGTTATAATTCGGCAGAAGCCTAACTTAACACATAGATCCGGAACAATATTTATAGGCCATATAAATACTTGTTCCGTGCGGGATCCGAACACACGGCCCTCAGTGCTGCAACTTATTGCTAAGCCACTGCGTCATGGAGCCATCATTAATGTTTTTGTGGTCTTCTTTGTTCGAAGTTGGTTGCAACTGTTCATTGACTGAAATAGCCGCCTGTCTAAGCTTACAGTCCAGACAGTTTATCAGTTGATGTTATAAATTATTCTATCACTATTACATATCACCAATGTTATTCAAGACATAGGTGGCCTAATTTGATGATAGATACTTTGATAATCAACACGCTGGTCAGGTTGATAATCACTAGTAAATGTTGCTTTGGTTAAGCTGCTCCAAGGCGGGTTGTTCAACGCAGAGCAGTACATTTGTATTAATAATATTGCGTACAATTACCCACGAGATGATAGATATGGGGTAGTGGGTATTCTTACACCGCTACACGGGGCGACAGAGGGAATTAAATCAGGAGATGGGCAGCAGCGTCTTCCTAATAACGACTAAAAATATAAAACTGCGCTTGCCAAACGTGGCAGCTATGGTAGATATCCCCCTATGGGGGAGGCCTATGTTCTGCAGGAGACTTTATAGGTTGTAATGATAACGGTATATACAATTATATTCTTCGATATACAGCCTGCAAATGTATTTTTTTATATATCTTAGCACACAGTCCACCTGATGGTGGTGGATACTGTGGCCCATAGACGCTAACATTTATTGTTTCTTAAGAATAAATCTACCATACCACGCATTCGAAGCAAACTGTTTCCTTCGTCTTTCGTAACGCGTACTGCAAAGGAGTCAAATTAGTTGCCAGCGTATGTCTTTCCGTCCGATTACAATCTGGGTGACTTCGAGGCAAGAGGCTTTTGTTACGCTAAACGATTTACTATCAGGGTTAAGTATGATATTATGGAATTTATAGGTGATAATAACCCCTGGGAACTTAGTGATCGCTACGAAGCTATTTCTAATATTTTTTTTTTATAGAATAATGGTAACAAACGAGCACACAGCCCACCTGCTGGTAAGTGGATATACATCGACATTTATCCTTGATTAGGACTCAAAATTCAAATGCATTGTCTCCCCTGAGGACTAAAACGGAATGCCTCGTTTCCAGTAGAAAGGTTCTCTCTCCGGTTCTTAACACTCACCATACGAAACACAGCAGCGTGAAGCTGCTATTTTACGCAGGTATTCTGTGAGAGCGTGGTCCTACCCCGGTCGAGCTGACCCATTCATGCTGCTACCATAATATAGCTGCACCTTGACTCTACCACGTATATTGTAATTTGTTGTGTGTTGTTAATTATTGTGTAACACATTAAATCTTTGTAGTCTTTTCTTTAAATGTTCCCCTGGGTTTTATGCTGGTTCTTCCCAGGAAAGAGGTATTTTCGGCGGTAAATTAAACATAGGAGTGATTTTCAATAAGAAACTATTATTTATAATCTATATTGAATAAAAAAGTTTCTATTCTATCTAGGGCTTCAACACCACTTGCCAGGTGTATTGTAGTTTAGAACTGGCTTATAATAAGTAAAAACAAGTTAATTGCGCTTTAACCCTGTGGACTTAGAAAGCATGTCTTACGAGTAAACGAGTCTTCGGTCCTCAACACTCGCCGTACGAAACACATTAGCATTATGCTTTTATTTTTTTACGTTGTAGAGCCATGCTGCAGCTATATTAATAGTATCTATAGTTGTAGCACGAATGGGTCGGCTCGACTGGGGAAGGACCACGCTCTCACAGAATACCAGCGTAAAATATCAGCTTAATGCTGCTGTGTTTCGTATGGTGAGTGAAGAGAAGCGGACACCCTTTTTACTGGAAAAGAGGCATTCTATCTTAGTCCTCACGGCTGACATCGTATCTAACATTTTAATTCGCAAACGAAGGTAGATGTAGATGTGTATGGGCCATAGCAATAACTTACCATCAGGTGGACTGTGCTCATTTGTCACCCTTATTCTATAAAAAAAAAATTGACGTTGATATTCCGTAAGATCGTGGCCCTTCCCCGGTTGTGTCAACCCATTTATGCTGCAGCCATAATACAGCTGTATAGTGGTTCTATCACGTTAAAAAAAATCTACTGTTGCGTCAATTTTGAGAAGTAAAGTATTGGAACAGTGAAGAGTCCATGGCGTTGCCACGTTGCATGTAATAGACTTAGTACCTCGAAATAATTTTAGGATTTCCGTACATATTTTTTCTTCTCCGCCGAGCACTAAGCAAATCAGTATTTAAAATTACGATTCAATTTCAGTTGTGGTCGCCGTGGGGATCTTATAAAATTCACGAGTGCCCACATGGGCATCTACATAGATATACCTCAAAACTTGAAAACAAGCGAGTACAACCAGTCCATGTTAGCAGTGATGACGTATGAAACTGAGACGTGGTCATTCACCACTGGTCGTATAATAGAGTATAGCTCAAGGTCGCTCAGTGAGCTTTGAAGAGGGCTGTGCTCGGAGTTTCTCTGCGTGATAGAATTCGTAATGAGGATATCCGTAGGAGAACCAGAGTGACCGACATAGCCCCACTGATCAGTAAACTGAAGTGGCAATGTGCCGGCCATATAGTTCGAAGAACCGAAAACCAATGGGAAAGAATGGTTCTCGAGTGGCAGCCTCATACTGGCAAGCGATGTAGAAAGTCGATGGATGCAGGTAGCTCAAGAGCAGTGGTTTACTTGTGATGGGCTATAATGATGTATGATGATGATGGTGATTATTATTTATTAAATCCTATAATATAAAATATTTTTAACAATGGACTCTTAACAGTTTTAACTATGGCATCATTCAACAAATTAAAAAGCCAATTTTTTTATGGGATAAGGGTGACACGCGAGCACACAGTCCACCTGATTGTAAGTGGTTGCTGTGGCCCATAGATATCTACATCTATCCTCGACTACGAATCAAAATGCAGATGCGTTGTCAGCGTCGTGAGGATTAATATGGAATGCCTTGTTTCCAGTAAAATGGGTCTCCGATTCTATACACCCACCATACGAAACACAGCAGCATTTTACTTTACTTTACTTTTATTTTACGCTGGTATTCTGTGAGAGCGTGGTCCTTCCCTGGTCGAGCCGACCCATTCGTGTTAGAACTATTCAATTAATATAGCTGCAGTATGCCTCTATCACGTTTAAAAATTCTGTTATACGTTCTAAATACAGCTACGGAGAGTGATCGATATTATGAGCGATACGGTTTAGTCGCCTATTAAAATCTTAGATTACAAATATCAACGAGTTACCGTAACAGCAAGGGCAGGAGGTTTAACGGTGCAGCAGCATTGCGTGTTACACTGCAATCAATGTGCTGCCAAATAGAATGGGTTCATTGATCCTATTCCGACAGAACTTTTAGGAACAGTTGTAAAATAGTGTCGTTGACTCAAAATAAGTGTGTCAGTAACTTTTGTTTGCAACAAGGATGCATTTGTTTGCTTTCAGACGGATTCGACATCGTGGTGAACGATTGTTTCGCGCATAACGGTGCCACAAAGCGAATACAGCTAATTGATGAAAACGGGTGAGTAGTATAAGGAATAAATAATTACTTATCTAGTTATATATGCATAGTGCTACGTGCAGTGGCCGTGTAAGAATATCCATTACCACATATCCCGTGGGTGTCGTAAGAGGCGACAGAGGGAAACAAATCAGGAGATGGGCAGAAGTAAAAAATTAAAAAAAGACTCTGATTGCCAACCCGCTTGCCAAGCGTGGCAACTATGGCAAATATCCCCTCTACGAGGCAATCTATGGGAGAGACCCATGTTCAGCAGTCGACTTTAATAGGCTCTAGCGGTAACGGTAACGATTATATAAGGATATATATGGATGTGAAAGAAGCGAGAGAGGTATATTGGGATTTAAAAATACAATATGAAAAATTCTACTTCGTTCTTTCTTCTTCTTAATATACAATCAATAACTCCAAATTTGAGTCACATATAAAGATTTAGTAAATTTCTTTTTTAGCTCTAAACCAACTGAATATGAGTCATTAATATTTCCATAAATATATAAGTTCATTTCATCAATATAAAATTTGTTAATAACTTGACTGCAGTGCCAACTATCGGATGACAGTATACATATGAACTATCGTTTCGATAAAACAAAAAAAATATATTGTGTGAATAATATGGCCTCAATCGGTTATCGCTGAATAGACGTATATTTAATTTTATTTATCATTAATAAATAATTTATTATTTTAAGAGTAGATCATTTTTTATCATTAATACTCTTTTTAACAGACGTACTTATTGGTTATATTTTCGCTGTTTGCTTGTGTAATAACTGATCACCATATCATATTCAACAAAAAATTACAAAAGAGAACAAAGCAATAAATAATTTCCTTACAATGCCGACATTGTATGTTGTGAGTTTCTACTTTATTAAACAATAGTCACTTGATAAGATTTATATCTGGTACTTCAGCGTTTTTCCGTCTTTCCGTTAAATAGCGTTATCGTTAATAACTGTTACATAGATAATGCTGTTACTTACAATAAATATAGAAAATATTACGTAAATATTGTGCATATTCATTCTCAAATTTGGACGTAAAAAGCCACTGAGAACGTTTGTGGTTTGACAAATTGATACATAATTAAAAGATAAAAGAAACACCTTTATTTACTGATACTATAGACATCACATGAAAAAAAAAAAACAAAAGACCATTACACAAAGGGCGGAATGATGAGGTGAAAGTATATCAAGCCAGCGAAAAGGTTTTGGCTCAACGTAACCTACAGAGCGCTGATCATGTTTTATTTTGTAAATTGACACAACAATTTAAATTGTAATAGTGTTCAAGCTGTCAGTTTTCTTAGTTTAATTATGTGGTTTAATATAAGGGTTTAATTAATATGATATCTTATATTTTTACTAATCAATAAAGAAGACGCGACAAACTTTTTATCAATAGCCTACACCAATGGCACATCAATGACAACGCATCTGCATTTTGATTTGTAATAGAAAATACATGTAGATGTCTATGGGCCGCAGCAACCACTTACCATCAGGTGGACTGTGTGCTCGTTTGTCACCCTTATCCTATAAAAAAAAAATTATTCACCAGTTCACCTGATGGTAAGTGGTTGCTGCAGACCATAGATATCTACATCTATTCTCGATTACGAATCGAAATGCAGATGCGTTGTCACCCGTGAGGACAAAGATGTAATGCCTCGTTTCCAGTAAAAAGGGTCTCTGGTTCTCTACACTCACCATACGAAACACAGCAGCGTTAAGCTGCTATTTTACAATTTAGTACAAGTATTCTGTGAGAGCGTGGTTCTTTTCCGGTCGAGCCGACCCATTCGTGCTACAACTATACCTACTACTAATAGAGCTGCAGCATGGCTCTACCACGTAAAAGATATCTCTCTATAAATGTTCTCTTTATAACTATCGGAATGATATATGTATTATAGGTAGTAGAAATTACACGATTTTGTAAACAGTATAATTATCTACCTACTATTTTGAATCTATTTTTGCCAGTTTTGTGATGTGGATATGTCCGAAAAATCGTTAAACGATTTACTTGTATATATGTATAACTCACACTTTCATAGATAGCTCGTTTTCTATATTATAACCCTTTATTTTATAAACAATACAATAAAGCCGTAATAATTTACAAAATAGGCAAAATAAAGTATTTTAACGTGTTTAACGGTTCTCATAAACTATAAAGTACTTTAGAATACGCGAGTAACTCAGATTCGTTTACCGCCGGCACCAAAGAAAATGTTAATTGCAATTTAAGTGCTGATTTACTGCGTGCTCGACGATGGAAGAAAACATCTTAAGGAAACCTGCATGTCTAAGTAAAAAAAAAAATATGTATATAAAAGAGTGAAGTGCGCAAATACGAATTGGGACAGCGCGGTTGGATAGTATTACTTGCCCTACAACCCTCTCCGAATTGAGACGAGGCCTGTGTCCAGGATTGGGCCGTTCACAGGCTGTAACTTTACTTCAACTTTTACTATGGTAGTAATTCTAACGTTAAATAAAAAAGAACCAATTAATTGAATAGTTGAGGTTAACTTTTCTTCTTTTAGTAGTGCCTTAAAAAATTTCCGTTTTACATTTTATTTATCCTTTCTATTTATGATAATGCTTATTTGAATGCAACTATGATAGAAATGCTTGTAAGATATTGAGGTTTCAAATAGATGGCGCTATAGTCAGAAATATATCTCTTATTTAAGCCCGATTTTCACTATGGGATATATAATATATTATATATTACATCTCGAGATATAAATTAATATCGCTCACCATACTTTTAAATGATAGCGTTTGCACTGTGCTATAATATATATTACATCTCAAACTATGAATATTTTTTCGATCGACCGAGCGTTCGTAATTTGATTACCACCCATACCCCGCACACGGTTTTGCGGCGGTGCGGAACGGTGTACGGGGTACAGCGGGGAAATATAACATGAAAATATCGCTCAGTCGATCGAAAAATATTTATATTTTGAGATGTAATATATATTATATTATATCCAATAGTGAAAAGCGGGCTTTATGCCAAATGTAAAATACTCAAACTCAGACCGGCAACGTGGCGCAGCATCATTATAACAATGGACTGTTAAGGACTTTTAATTACTGATTTATATTTTATTTTATTTCAATATATTTTTCATACTTATTAGTTACATTCAAGTTGCTTTTGAAATATGTATAACCATGTGTTTTTTTTTTATAATTACAGTTGTCCAGTAGACGAGAAGCTGATCTCACGGTTCCGAGGCTCGTGGTCTGAATCTGGTGTGTTTGAGACGCAGGTGTATGCGTACATGAAGACGTTCCGTTTCACGGGCTCACCCGCACTCTACATCGAATGTGACGTTAGGATGTGCCAAGGGCGATGTCCCGTGAGTTTCCTACTTTGCATTTTATTTCTTTTATATGTAAAACATGTTTTTTTTTTCAATTTATATTTGTACCATAAAATTCATTTCACATAATTTTATGAATATAACATAATTCAGTTTTTCAAATGATTGCATGTCATTATATATCATTACTCATTGCATTCCATAACATCTTTCAGACTCGGCCATTCAGAAGCTTTTACGAATATAACTATCTACAACTTTACAATTTATTACTTGCATATAACATTCCGACTGCATTGAAATAGAAACTAAAAACCAATTACAATGTCCATGACCAAATCCTTAGATATTTATGTTTCTAAATTAAGAAATTAATAACTCTTTAAATTTGTAAGAAACTCTTTAAATTTACAAAGCTGTATGTTTCATTAATTATTTATTGCTACAATTATACTGGGATATACTTACGTAAAAAAACGTAAACGAAACTGCAAAAAATTTGCAAAGTTAACGAAACCGTTAAAAATGATACCTAAATAGTTTTTTTTTTCTGAGTGGCCAGTTCGTACATTCACTCATTATCATAAACTCATTTGTTACCAGTCGCAACCGTGCCATTGGCGCAACATGAAGAGTGTAAGGCGGCGTTCGGTCTCAGGCGGAGCGGGCAGCGTGGCGCGCAGCGGCGCGGGAGCCGGAGCCGAGCCCGCTGCTGTTGCGCCGCGTCTCTCCGAAAACATTTCGCTATTCCAATCCCTGCGAGTGCTACAGGAAGGCGAGGAGGATGCTGAAATGGCTCCAAGCAAAGGTATTTCTCAATTTTTTACCTGATGGACCCAATACAATATATTTTATTAAGGTGACATAACATTAATGCATGTCAACCATGTTGTGGCGGTGTAAGAATATTTACTACGTGACGTCGTAGTGGTTACGCTCTTAAATGGTAAAGGAATTAAATTCCATATTATATTATATAAATATTTCGGTATCCAATTAGATTTGGTTTTAGTTTTAAAATAATTCAAGCTCGAAATCCCCAGTAATATTTTATACAAGACGGACAGCTAATGCTAAAAATATTAAAAACTAGCGATCCGGCCCGGCTTCACACGAGTGATGGTCCAATTGAGAATCTAAACCATCCAGCGACGCATTCAAACGCACACACAAAATTTCATAAAATTCATTGGAGCCATTTTCGAGATTAAGCGAGACTAACAGACAGCAATGGATTTTTATGTAAATAAATAGAAATATCAAATATAGAATATTGGTAAATCCAATTGGGCATGCCCTAAGCGCATTAAAAAAATTACGTATAACATGATTATACGGAATTTTTAAAAGTAGTTTAAATACGTTTCGAAAGCACTATCGGCTTCAACGCCCTCGAAACCCATGAAAATGACACCCATGATGGAAAAATTGATACCTATTGCAGCCGCCATCTTGAATTTACATTTCGACAGCACTATCGGCTTCAACATCCTCGAAAACCATGAAAATGACACCCATGATGAAAAAATTGATACCTATTGCAGCCGCCATCTTGGATTTACATTTTGACAGCATTATCGGCTTCAACACTGTCGAAAACTATGATAATGACACCCATGATGAAAAAATTGATACCTATTGCAGCCGCCACCTTGGATTTACATTTCGACAGCACTATCGGCTTCACCACCCGCGAAAACCATGAGAAACACCCACGATGAAAAAATTGATACCTATTGCAGACGCCACCTTGGATTTACATTTCGACAGCACTATCGGCTTCAACACTCGAAAACCATGAAAATGACACCCATGATGAAAAAATTGATACCTATTGCAGCCGCCATCTTGAATTTACATTTTACAGCATTATCGGCTTCAACACTCTCGAAAATCATGAAAATGACACCCAAGATAAAAATATTGATATCTATTGCAGCCGCCATCTTGGATTTATATTTCGGCAGCACTATCGGCTTCAACACCCTCGAAAACCATGAAAATGACACCCATGATGAAAAAATTGATATCTATTACAGCCGCCACCTTAGATTTACATTTTGACAGCATTATCGGCTTCAACACTCTCGAAAACCATGAAAATGACACCCCATGATGAAAAAATTGATACCTATTGCAGCCGCCATCTTGGATTTACATTTTGACAGCATTATCGGCTTCAACACTGTCGAAAACTATGATAATGACACCCATGATGAAAAAATTGATACCTATTGCAGCCGCCACCTTGGATTTACATTTCGACAGCACTATCGGCTTCACCACCCGCGAAAACCATGAGAAACACCCACGATGAAAAAATTGATACCTATTGCAGACGCCACCTTGGATTTACATTTCGACAGCACTATCGGCTTCAACACTCGAAAACCATGAAAATGACACCCATGATGAAAAAATTGATACCTATTGCAACCGCCATCTTGAATTTACATTTCGACAGCACTATCGGCTTCAACACCCTCGAAAACCATGAAAATGACACCCATGATGAAAAAATTTATACCTATTGCAACCGCCACCTTGGATTTACATTTCGACAGCACTATTGGCTTCAACACCCTCGAAAACCATGAAAATGACACCCATGACGAAAAAATTGATACTACTTACTTTTAGTACGTACTACTATTATTTATTCTGTGCTTTTAAAATATTGTAATAAAAAGATCTCTCATTATTATTATAATCAAGTATTTAAGAAATTTGGTTATTCGAATATTGTGTATTTGTACAAAACAATGTCCACTCACGACGGCGACTGACGCCGAATTGAGTGACGCAGTCTCTATTCTATTTAGTAATAATTTTTCATACAAGGCTGCTGAATACACCGAAAATTTTGCCATTTCGCAGACGAAAAAAATGTATTATAACTAAACTAAACAAAATTAAACTGCCATTTACATTCAATGGCTTCCCACATAATAGATGAAGAGTTTTAAAAAAAATATATTGAGCTGAACAATTGATATTTTCAAAAGTTATCGTGTTTACAAGCCTTGCGAACTTGATAAATCCACACCATAAGCCACTAAAACCCCTTTTTTATTTAAAAATAGCAATTAATATAAGATTTAAAAAAAATATTAATAAGTTTAACAATCATTTATCTTTCTGAAAATGTGCTTTTTATATCACTTATATGTACAATATGATTGCTAGATACGATTTCATGCGACAAGACGTTGGAATCTTAATTTTTAGGCGATAGTAGAACACACCTTGCGCTTTCGCTTAAGGCATGGAATAGAGCGCCGCGAGAATATCAAATAGAATATAAAATAAATCACCATATTTTTCTAAAAAAAAAATATCCACCACCCCATTTTACCCTATGGGTGTCGAAATAGGCTATCTATGAGAAATGCCAGGAAAATACCGAGAGTGGCAATACGGGAAGTAGCTTCAAAGGTGCCAATCGTCTGGTACTGTGATCGCCATTCGCCTGCCAAGCGTGGTGATTAACGCAAATCCACCCTAACGTGACTGGCACATTTTTTAAAAAATAAAACGTAGTGACAAACGAACTTTTTGTTTAATATAAAGGTGAAAACAAGCATATAGTTCACCTGATGGTAAGTGGGTTATGTGCAGCCCATAGACATCTACATCTATCCTCGATTAAGAATCAAAATGCAGATGCATTGTCACCCCTGAGTACTAAGATGAAATGCCTAGTTTCGATTAAAAAGGGTCTCCGTTCTCTATACCCACCATACGAATACAGCAGCATTAAACTGCTATTTTACCATGATAATCTATCCTTCCCCGGTCGAGCCAACCCAGTAGTGCTACAACTATAATATAGCTGCAGGCATAGCTCTACCACGTATATAACTTACAGTCCACCTGATTAGTTAAGGCAAAGATTTTAAATTAATCACGGATGTAAATTTTTCCAGCCGCAGCCGAAGGTCAAACGTGTATTAGAACATCCGCTTTATCCGCTATGGTGGCGACTTGTGGTGCATTAGTAGCAGCGTTGTGTGGTGCTCTACTCGTTCTAGCTCGAGGTTGCAGGAGAGATAGTGCTACGAACACGCCTCACCATGCCTACGTACCGCACAAGGGAAGAATAAAATAGAGCCATTACATATTCACTATGTAATTTCAATTTGAATCTGACTTTGATATGTTATGTTCGTATATTTTATGTTAAATGTTTTGTGATGAAAGACTTTTAGTATTTAGTGTTATATGTAATCATAAGTACACAAAATAGCTTAGGGCATGAATTTAAAAATAATTAAAATCTGTTTCCCGCCATAAATTTTACAAAGAAAAACGAGCTGATCAAAATCGGTTATGTAAATTATTCGATTATTATTTATTAATAAAACCAAATGCAATATGACAAAATATATTTCAATTAATGAAAGTCTATTGATTATGTCTTACGTCTGCCTATTTACAACACCGATACATGGATATTGCCAGATAAGGACTACAATTTTCATTATATTCCTACTATAATAACTTAAGATAGTGTTGCAAATATTTTAATTATGATGGTAGTTCTTTTTAATTTCATGCATCAATTAAAACATGAATTTTTAAATACTTACTATTTTTGAAAATATTTCAGGGTCTGATTCTGTTAATATTTATATGTATTTACAGTTACATATCTAAGTAAAATGTCCAATTATAATGAATACGTAGTTTAGGAAAATGTAAATAAATGATGCGAAAATGAAATAATATAGGTTTAAAATATTATTCAATAAAATATTATTTAAAAGACGAATAGAGAGGATTTATATTTAAGGATAAAATATGTCTCCTCCTGTTTGCATTTAATTAAGTTAGCATTGTGATATGATAAATAGCTTAGCTTATTGAAACTAAAGTTATAAAATATTTTGAATGGTGTAATTAAGCACCACCACCGAAATACTTAAATGGTTTTAAATGTATGTACGCAAATTTTGAAATTAATTTTTTTTGTTTGGTTTAATTCTATAAGGTATGTGATTATTATGATTGTGAATCGGATAGAAAAGTTAATTGCTTAACTCAAATATATTGCTAAGCTCAAATTAATTAATACCACAGATAAATTAAATTATGTAATGGTAGATAAATTTATTTTTATTTATTCTCAGTAACATAAAGACGTAAAAAATCGAAAACTGTAAATAATACTTTTAAGGGACCTTTAATATATAATAGTAGATGCGAAATAAAATAAACAACGTCTTTTTGAGTTTTTTTTTAATATCCTATGGTAGATTCCTATAACCAATAATTTAAAAATTCTGGACGCAGACGTCATTAGGAGCTGCGAAGAAAGTTTATGTTAAACTTAACCGTTTTTTCAGACGAGTGGTACTTTGCTAAGGTATAATCACAGTTTAAAGAGAGTCTAATAGTTGGGAAAGGAATGTACTTGTGCAGAGCAACGGCGGGGTCCTTGCGGGGCAAAGGGCGGCGCGACCTTGTGCCAGCACACTCCACTCAGTCTACTGGACAATCCATGCAGTTGACGCGGGCGTGTTTTATAGTACTTATTTTACTAATTTTAAGTGCCATTTTCGAAAAATAAAATATTTGTAATAGTGAATTACTGTTATAGCTATATGATTTACTAAGTGAAGTTCAAATGACGACTATGCTTATGTTTCCCTCATTTTTTTTTGATACAACAGTTTATCAGAATGCGAATACACTATACAATTAAATATAATAATCTAATAATATAATAAAGAAAAAAAAACCGAAACAAAATTAAGAATAGAAAACAAAATTAAAATAAACTACAAACAAAATAAACTCTACTTCGGTTTAACAGACTATATTATGAGCTGAAAGCCTAAGTTAAGCGGAACCATTAATTTTCTTTCGGTTTATAATTTGCAATTGGGTTCCGTCGTAGAACCGAAGTAGAGTTTACTTTGTAAATAATTTATTTTATTTTGTTTTATATTTTCAATCTTGTGTCTTTCTTTTTAGTGCATTACTTAGTCTTTTTTGCAGTCGGGTTTTTGATTTTTTTAAATAATTTATTTTATTTTAGACATTGTAGTGTCCCGGTGTAGACCCACTCTAATGAACTAAATTTCATATTACGCGGTCCGACACAAACATGGCCTATTTTTACGCTATCAAAAACTTTTTAAACCAATTTATTATTCTTAATTAAATTTAAACATTATATATATTGTAATCCCTTTTTAATTATAATCTAATCTTTATTTTGATACCCTACTCGATAGGTTTGGTAATTTTTTATTATTGACGTATTAGTATTTCGCGCCACAAATCCACCATTTTTTTAAATCAGCTGTCTAAGAACACTTGTGTTTTTGAGACGAATATAACGATACCTTAATTGCCGAAATCCATCCAGCCGTTTCGAAGATTTTTCTTGTAGTTATAAAAATTATTTTATTCAATAAATTTTTTAACTTATAAGTATATAAATGTACATAATGTTAATAAATGATAATGAGTATAATTATAATGTCCAAAACTATTTTACCCTCAATTTCGTGAAAACCTCCAGCATATTTGCGACGAAGGCGTAAATATCTACGGGGGAGGCGCGGCGGCTTCGCCTGACTTCAAAGTAGAGATGAGACATACTTGCAAAATTTAATACCAGGGCTTCTAAGTACGAGTATGTAAAAATACCAGGGTCGAAAACCAGGTTTTAAAAATACTTGAAAGTATTTGTTAATGTTAATATATATATGAATGCCTAATTTGATTCGGGCAAAAAAATTTAAAAACGTTCAGTATAGTTTTTAAATTTTTTTTGGTAACGAAATGAAATCTTTCCTTCCTACTTTTCGGCTTAGGACTCTTAATAAATAAAAGTTTTAAAACTGTTCCTAAATTGAATATACACGCGAAATAACTATTTAAAAATTAGGTCACGGTCAGTAGGTTACGTAATCAGTTCACAATAACAATTGAATTTACAAGAAATCGAAACAAAACTTTTACTTCCTCGAATATAAACATAATTCCATAATTCTTATTACTTACTAGGTACTTACGCGACGTGTCCAGCCGCGGTGTCAGTTTGAAAATACTTGCAAAGAGTATAGTAATATAAAAGGAAAAATACTTGCATAGGAATTCGACCCGCTTTCCATGTTAGGCTATTATGACTAAGGAGCAAAGTCGTATAAATAAAAAAAATACTTATAACTTAAAAGTATTTTTCATTCACAAATACGATTGAGTTTCTTATTACTATTATGATATGGATTATTTTCCTATGCAAGTATTCTCATACTTGCAAGTATTTTTTGGTCGTAAAAGGGCGCCGTACTTTAAAGTTAAAACCTGGTAGCGTAAATACGTCTCATTGCGACGCGAGGGACGTGTCCAGCCGTGGTGTCAAAATTTGAAAATACTTGCATAGGAATTTCACTCGTATTCCATGTTATCTTACTATGAGTAAGGAGCAAAGTCGTATAAATAAAAAAATACTTTGAAGTTCTAAGTATTTTTCGTTCACAAATACGATTGAGATATGGATAATTTTCCTATGCAAGTATTTTCATACTTGCAAGTATTTTTTGTTCGTACCAGGGCGCCGTACTTTGAAGTGAATACCTGGTTTTAAAACCTGGTAGCGTAAATACGTCTCATCTTTACTTCAAAGGCGTTTCGTAACTGTTAGCTTTTTAAACTGTGGTGTAGGGGCAACTGCACTTATTGATGACTGTCCACGGCTGTGTCAGACACATCGGCGACTGCAGTGCAAATTCAAAGTATTATTTTGTTTGCGGCTGATTTCTGTGCTATACGAGCATAGTTTTAATTTGATGTGGGACTCATCTTCTAATTATTTACATCAATTAGCAAATTACCTTTGGGGAGGCCTGTGTTTAACGGTGGACTTTGGCAGACTGTAATGATAATGATGTGAACGTAACCTACTATAGATAGATATTGAATAAAACTTATTGTACTATTTCCATAGTTAAAAAATTATGTGCAGTAAAATTATATAAAAAAAATATTTGTGTTGGCCCAGATTATTGTTTCTGAGAAATTTCAACAAGTTCAACAACGTCTAACATTGCCTCGATAAGGGGAACATCTTAAGGTGGCGACTGACATGAGCATTTGCTCGATGTGAATATTCGCGTCGAGAATTTGTTCGTTGGGAGTAAATGTTCATGACACTTGAATCTTCGCGACGAATATATGTTTAACTATCCTCCAGTAGTTACAGTCAAAATGGCGGACGAATAGTGTGACGAGGTATAGTGTATGCTGTTCCATCTAATCCGTTATTGCTTCTTAAAGAAGAAAATAAAGAGTATTTGGACAAGAAATTTGTTCAAAATCAGAAGTAAAGATTGTTTTTTCCTGACTCCACTGCCTTTTACCAAAAGCAAAAATACCTCGACACAAACAGAGCAACGAGTGCGCTCTTGGCGTTGCTCGCGTTAGCGATTGACTTGTAATGTAACATTCAAAAGGATTCACCAAAGATTCAGCCGGGTGGAGCGCGCTCGGGTGCTCGGCGCTCGTCATTGACCTTCAACAAAAGAGCCTACTCCTTTTTAAAAGGCTGGCAACGCATCTGCGATTTCCCAGGTTCCCCTGGTGTTGCAGTTGTTCATGGGTGGTGATAGTCACTTACCATCAGGTGAGCCGCATGCTCGTTTGCCTCCTCTCCTATAAAAAAAAAAACTTGGCTCGCTGTACTGACATGCCGAATATTCGACTTGTAACTTGCTCACATCGCGCAAATGCTCATGTCAGTTGCCAGCTTTAAAGTATACATAACCGAGCTATAGAGCGCGCGTATCGCCAAACGCAATCAGATATTTTATAGATACTGATATAGAGACGAAGCGGTTAAATAGTGATGCGCCATGATTGACGCCTATGCGTTGATATACTTACGTTATTAATTTAATAAGGTAAGTATTTAGTAAATATTGGATATGTAGCTAATTATAAGGTAAGTTTTAGCAGATCAATAAAACACAGGTATGAATTTAAAATAAGATGTTTAATAATTAAACACGGAGATCCCTTAAAAAGGATTAACTTATTATATAATTGTCGTTTTGTTTGCTTGATCGCAGTCTTAAGTGCAAGATATTTTCATTGCAAACCGCCTCGCCGAGCACCTTGCGGGGACGGGGCCGGATCTTGCGGAACACCAGTTTGGTTTCCGCAAGAGGCGCTCTACGGTGGACGCCATCATGCGCGTAAGAGCCCTCACGACGGGGGATGCAGTGGCCAGGGGGGGGTTGTTTTGGCGGTGTCTCTCGACATCGCCAACGCCTTCAACTCCATGCCCTGGAGCTGCATTAGGGAGGCACTCCGGTATCACCGGGTGCCGACCTATCTCCGTCGTATAGTCGGGGACTATCTGACGGATAGGGCCGTCATCTACCCCGGTCGCAACGGTGAGTGGAACCGGCGAGAGATGTCGTGCGGTGTCCCACAAGGTTCGGTTCTGGGGCCGCCCCTGTGGAACATCGGTTACGACTGGGTGCTGCGCGCCGACCTCCCTACCGGCGTCAGCGTAGTTTGCTACGCTGACGACACGCTGGTACTGGCACAGGGGGGGTCGTACGAGGCGGCGGCGGAAAATATGACACGCGGGGTTGCGATAGTCGTTGAGAGGATCCGGCAGCTGGGTCTTGAGGTGGCTCTGCACAAGTCCGAGGCCATGCACTTCCATGGTCCTCGGAACAGGCCACCACCGGGATCCTCAGCGATGGTAGGAGGGGTATCCATCGGCGTCGAGTCGACGTTGAAGTACCTAGGACTCGTCCTCGACGGCCGATGGAACTTCGTTGAGCACTTCCGACGTTTGGCTCCCAAACTGGAACGGACCGGGGCTGCCTTCAGGCGGCTCCTGCCGAACCTGGGGGGGCCAAACGCCTCCTGCCGGAGGCTCTACGCGGGGATTGTGCGGTCCATGGCCCTTTACGGGGCCCCGGTGTGGGCGCGTGGTTTGGCGCGGCTTGCCGTCCACCACCTGAACGCGCCCCAAAAGGTGGTTGCCGTAAGAATGGTTCGCGGCTACCGCACGATCTCCCGCGAGGCACCGTGCCTCCTTGCCGGATTGCCACCATGGGATCTGGAGGCGATAGACCTCGCGCGCCTACACGAATGGCGCGCGGAGGCACTATGCCGGGGGGAAACCCCGCTGCCACGGCAAGTTGTCGTGCAGCGGACAGACTTCCGGCATGATCTCATGGCGACATGGAGAGAGCGACTGTCGCAACCCCGTGCTGGGCACGCCACTATAGCGGCGATAAGACCCCTCTTTGAGGAGTGGCTTGAGAGACGCCACGGCGTCCTCACCTTCCGCCTGACGCAGGTCCTCACCGGACACGGTGTGTTCGGGAGGTTCCTGCACCGAATCGGGCGGGAGGAAACGCCCGGGTGCTCCCACTGCGAGGATCGACCGGAGGACACGGTGGAGCACACCGTGGAGGTGTGCCCTGCCTGGGCGGAGCACCGCCGTGTCCTCGTAGCGGCGATAGGCGGCGGCGACCTCTCGCGTCCGGCCCTGGTCGAAGCCATGGTCCGGAGCGAGACGGAATGGGATGCCGTCACCACCTTCTGCGAAGCAGTGATGCTAGCGAAGGAGGTGGCGGAGCGGGAGAAGGAGAGAGCAGCAGCTTTCCTTCTCGGCCGCCGCGGGAGACGCCCCGGGCATCGGGGGCTACGTCGTGGCCCCCGGCCACCGTAGGCGCGGGCCTGTGGACGGCGAGCAATGGGTAGCTCGCCGTCCGTCCGTCTAACGACGACAGGCCGTGTCGACGGCGCGTTTTGTTCCACGCGCGCCTCAAAGAGCTGTCAGCAGCGTGAAGGGGCCCGCAAGGGCCGACGCCTGCCGGGGCTGCGGGCTGTTCGAAAGAGATACCGCGGCTCCGGAACGTAAGGGCACTGAAGGAACACGGATGGTTTTTAGTCAGTAAAAGTCTGACACTCCCTTCCGCTCCACCCAGAGCGAAAGGCGTCATGTGATGATTTTCCATCCGCAAAAAAAAAAGGTGCAAGATATTTCATTCTAATGTCAATATATTTTTTAATGACATCCCTTAGTTTTAATTTTTTTTCTTTAAATAAAACGTAACCTGCACACTAGGATTTTCGCCTTTATCGTGGGGACAGTTGGCAAACATAAATTGCACAAGGACAAACATTTAAAAAATCGCCCGCCATACACACGTAATTACGTAGGTAAAGACATAAATAACTACCGAAACTTTTTAATTGCTTAAAAATAAGTGTACCTAATCTTACTTCAAGTTTAAGCTCAACTAGCACCCATTTATATGCTAATTCACGGCATTTCGGAAATCTGAAATTAGATAAATATTTAACTGTATTTAACTTTATTATGTAAGTACATATATAACAAAGCTATTCAAAAGTTTTATTTTAAACATTAATGTCTATATATAATCTTAATTGCTAATATTAGGATTATATTATTATTACGAAAGAAATCATGTTATTACAAAATATTCGTGTACAACGTGGTACAGCACTGGCTCTAATTCGAGGAAAGCCAAGCACGTGCTGCATAGACCCGTCCTCGCGACTCACGCAACAGCCTTTGAAACCTTACTTAATTTTTTTTTAATCAGTGTTTTCTTATTAAAATATTACTTACCGATGAAAATAATTATCATTTTTATTCTAAGTTTGCTTCCGTGAATCGTTTTTATAGCTGTTATTGAACATTTTACCATGGTAACTGAAAATTCAAGTAAATACCGGCGAGAGAAGACTCAGAGCGCGCGTCCTGTCATAACGAATAACGACGCTGTTGCGTTTTCGAGACTGTTCATACCCGTGCTTACTGTTCATACTTGCTAATGCCCGCTCTTTAGCTTGCTTATGTATTTATACTCTAAGGGGAACATATATTATTAAGTGGCGAAGCTTGCGAAGTCACTTATTGATTTCACGATGTCTGTCCGTCTGTCCCACGATTATCTCGAGAACGGTTTCGAATTTTCAAATTCTGTTTTCAGCAATCGATTACTGATCACCCAGGCATCTGAACCTCCTATTTTGAAACTGATTGCTCAACGGCAACCGTTAGAAACCGCTACAAAGCTGATTGCTTCGCCACTTTGCTATGCTGTTAGCTTGCTAGGTTTATTTTATTCGTTTATTAGTCTATCAGAATTTCACTGCTGAAAAAGGCGTCGCCACTTCCTAAGACACCCACGGGATATATATATATATATAGATTCTTGGTTATTTTTACGCCACTGCCACCCGGCACTTAATACGGCGCAGCATTAGATAGTTTGCTTTTAATAAAAGCAAGTCTAATGAAATAAAATACGATCTTCAGTAATAAAAAATGTATATTATTCGTTTAAGTCACACACAATACAAGTATAAATTACATAATGTAAATGAACACAAACAAAACATCATAACAAAGTAAAAAAAAAAAATATTGCGCAATTCGTTGTGATTGGTAATAAAATCTATCAAACTAAAAAAATATCTAATCAAACGTGTAAATAATTAAATACTGTCAAACATTTGTTCATGGTTTAAATAACGTGTAAGGTACATGTTGCATCTTATTTACTTATCTGTGGCGGGAAGTTTCTCTAGAACGTTCTGCAGGTACTTTATGGCACTGTCTAAGACTTGCACTTCGCATTCTTTGAGCAGTTTTATATTTTTTCTGTAAATAAACATCTTCAAATATTATTTACGCAACAATTTTTAATTTACAAAGTCCTAGAAAAACATGATTACACATCATCGTCATCATGTAATATAAGCCGAACATAAGTCACGTCTCCTCCATAGGAGGGATATTTACACCGTTTTCACGCATCGCAAGCGGGTAGCCGACCGCAGTTTTTATTTTAAGTTGTTACAGAGAAGATGCTGCTTTCAATTTCCGTCTGCCTACTCTTACGATACCCACGGGATGCTTTGTGATATTAGATATTCATACGGTAAATTAAATTATTTTCACGGAGCAAGGCAACGCTTCCCTTATCTATTATAGGCCAGTGGTTGACTAGATTAACAAATATATACATATTCACTCTCTCTTGACGATATCCACAATGTAATCGGATGGAAACAAATTATGAACGACCAAAAAAACACATTATGAACGACCAAACAAACTGTTTGGTTTAAGTGTTGTATGTCAACAACAAAGGAGTGGAGACCGGTCGAGCGTAAGGTGGTCCAATGATGGAAGAAGATCGAAAACTTTTAACTTTGTACTGCAGCAACATGGTTCCTGTCTTTTCATGCTTCACCAAAAATAAATATACCTAAGTATTACTAAAGATTACTGTGCACAGGTAAAGTAAGTTTTCTATAAGTAGAGTATAGTATTTGTTATATTACCTATGAGCTGTGATGGGGGGAGATTCTTCAGGGTCTTTTTTGTAGGACGCTCTTATAAGTTTGCATCGTGTAAGGAGATATGTGTAGGCGCGTCGGTCTAACTCTGTTCCAACCACTTCCGCACTGGTAGGATCCGATGATACGAGGTCACCAGGTAGGCCTTGACTTGACCATTTTGTTAACTCCTCTGAAATTACAAAACAATTTTTTATAAGATTTAACAGGAGGGTGGAATATAATGATCGTGAAGTCTGATGATGATGAAGTCTGCAGTCTGTGATCAGGATATGATGGCTCTCGACAAATTCCCGGGAAAGAACATCGATTCCTACCGACGAGGATTCGTGAGGCTATTGTAATTAAAAGACTTCCTAATTAAATAGAGAAGACGACTGGGTGCTACCACCTGTTTGGGATCCAGTATTTAATAAAATTAAGATAAGCCTTTAAGATACAATAAGCACACTGTATAGATAAGACTAACCAAATTGATAATGAAAAGCTAAAGGATTCCTATGACATCAGGACGTCAAACACTTCGTCCGGTCCGTGACCATAGTTACTCCGAAATAGTCTTGGGTAAAAAATATCGATATATCGAAATATCGAATTCGTATGTATAATAGGAAAGTGTGAGAATGATATTGAAAGAAGAGTGAATGCAGGAAACATGGTGAATGGAGCTTTGCCCTCCTTTATGAGCGGTCGGAAAGTGTCTAACAAGGCTCGTTTGGCTGTGCATGAGGGGGTGTTGGTTCCGACGCTCATGTACGGAAGTGAAAGTTGGGTATGGCAGAAGAAACATGAACGCAGAATAAATGCAGTTGAGATGAGAGCGTTGAGAAGTATGATAGGAGTTACTGAGTGACAGGATAAGAAATAGTGAGATAAGGAAACGTTGTGGTCTGAAAGAAGATGTAGTGACAAAAATTGAGAAAGGTATGCTGAGATGGTTTGGCCATGTCAAGAGAATGAATGACGAACGATTGACGAAAAAAGTGTATAAGGCAATTGTGAATAAAAGTGTTGGAGGGGTAGACCTAGGCAGATGTTTCTAGACCAAATCAGGGACGTCTTGAAATAGGCCAGATCAAGAGTACCCTAAACCGAAGAGTGGACGAAGCGAAACAAGTATGTAAGGATGGTAGCAAGTGGAAAGCGGTGGTCTCTGCCTACCCCTACGGGAAAGAGGCGTGATTATATGTATGTATGTATCAATTTCGATATATTTAAAAAAGTTGTGTTAATCGAAAAAACATTAAGCAACAAAATCAGCTACAAAAGCATTCATGTGCTGTTGTCATTTTTTTTATCGTCCAACCGTCCAGTAATAAAATTTTGGTTCCCATCATACTAGATCATGATATATCGATACTTATCATAGCGATATTTATGGATACTGTTCGATACTGTTAAAAAATATCGTTACGATAAATATCAATATATTTTTTCACTTGCGTTTAATTTGACTTAAGTTTTGGAGTAGGGATGCCTACTCCAAAACTTAAGTCAAATTAAACGCAACAAAACCCGTAAAAATAATTAATGCATAACATATTTTTAGTGTTCGGGTCTGCCGTTTCTGACTATACTATCCTATAGGTTAAGACTAGATGCTTCTGTTTGGGTTTATGTTTCTGTTTCATCACTTTTGTCATTTACATGTCCTATGCAGTTGATAGCTGCGGACGTATCACAGAAGATATCAAAGTAGTGGGAATGGTATAGATTTTACAAGTATATGAATCTATAAGCTGTATATAAAACTTTAAACTTTATCAATATGAAGACGAAGTAACTTCTTAAAATTATATATTTATATACCTATACAATATACAATTAACGGTGACATAACAACAGTCCACCACACCTATATGTTGTCCACCTTATGTGGAATGGACGCTATGGTCTAATCAACTTCAAACAATGCTTGATTAAAAATGCAGATGTGTTGTTATACCTAAGTAATAAGTTAGAATGTCTCATTTTAAATAAAATGGGTCTCCGGATCTCATTATTGACGAAACACAACAATATTATATTATTTTACGCTCACATTCCGTGCCCGTGGTCCTTGACCGGTTAAGCCGACCCATTCGTATTGAAGTTATAATAGATTGGCAGTGTGGCTAACTTATCTGCTTTATGGAAAACTTATCATGTTTGAACTTTTTCTAATACTCAAAAGCGTAAAAAGTAAAGTTACAGCCTATATACGTCCCACTGCTGTGCACAGGTCTCCTCTCATTTCTGAGAGGGTTTTAGGGCTAAGAAATGTCCGCCGCGCTGCCCCAATGCGTGTTGGCGAACTTCACGTCTTCGTAATATTTTTGTTCTTATTTCTTAGACATGCAGGTTTCCTCACGATGTTTTCCTTCACCGCCGAGCACGTAATAAATCTGCACTTAAAATTGGAATTAACAATTTCATTGTTGCCGGCGCGGATCGACCCCGGACCCCGGGTTGTTCGCGTACTGTGAAACTTACAGCGAGCGCTAAACCTGGCTAGCTACCACGGCCCTCCAAAGGCTATACGCCTATCAAAGAAAAATAATTAAACTCTAGTATGTTTACTTTTAAAAATTACTCGGTCGTACCTTTTCTGTCTAGGTGATACGTCTGGGTAAGTACCATCATCTTACCTTTTCTGTCGCAAAATAGCAGTGCTTGCACTGCTGTGTACCCGTCTAATTACAGGCATTTAATTCCAGTCAGAGGTGATAACGCTACCTGATAACCACCAGGTGGACTTTAATTTCCGTTTGTCCTTCAAGTTTTATTTAAAAAAAAAGTATTTTGATTATAGAAATAAACAACGTATTAACCACTCACCCTGGTTCATACTGAATATCCTTATAAATGCGAGCAGCTCTGCGCTGATCGGGGTTTCCCCTAAGTACAGGTTAAAGTGTGTGACGCCTGCGAGACCTAGCTTGCTAAGTAACGAGAGCCTCGTCTCACGAGCTGGGTCACCGGAACTCACACCCAGGGCCAATGATAGACTATCGTGCTGATTGTTTGCATATACGAATCTGTAAAAAAATAAGTTAAAATAAATCTATGATTATTTCTTTTAATTTTTCTCCCGTTTATCAAGGGACACCTAAAATATTTCGTTTTGTCTCAAACCAACAAAGACTGATTGATGGAGCGCTGCGTACAAGCTTTTCAAGAGGTTCCGAAACCATACTGAATTATATCTCACAGAATACCAGCGTAAAATAGATCCTTTTTACTGGAAACGAGGCATTCCTCAAAGATGCATATTAACTAAGATGTAACTTATTTCATAAAAAACGGCAATTTTATAGGTAAAAACCTAATATAAAGTAAATTATATTTCAGGCACGAACACTTCCCCTTATATTAAAATTATGAAAATATAACATTTCATATAACCTGCTCAAACATGTTAAATTCCAATAATTTTAATAATGCTAATATTATCCTGATTAACTTGTATTAGCAGCAAAACATGCGTGTAATTAGTATTAATTTCTTCTGATCAAAAACCCCTCAGAAGCGAACAATGCCAACGGAACGTGATAATTACATCATCACAGATGATAACTGGTGTGGGTTACGTGTAGATTATATCATAGTGTTGTTTACGTTTTAGAAACGAGTCAATATTATAATGATATACGGCACGCGAGGTTTATTTGGTAATGGTAACAACACAAAAACAATTCGCTATATATGATGAAAGTAGCTTAGTACATACCTGGCTGTTATGTCGGTCCTGGGTTCGAATCCTACCCTTTTCTTTTGTCTTACCACAAAAGTGGCTTCTGGGATTTTTCCGGGTCTAGTTATGATGCGATTGTCAGTCTGTCTCTGATATAGCCTTCCAGCCTATCGTCGCATGTTTTTTTTTATAAAACTGAAGTGACAATCGAGCCACATGGTGGTATGTGGTTACCATCAGGTGGAGTTTCGGCTAAATAAAAAGAGCTCTCATCTGCGTTATCCCGTCTCAGGACTAACATGGCCGAACAACCTGTAATACTGGCTGGTCCTCTATACCCTTCACAACGGAGCACGGAAGGCTCGCCCTGCAGTTTGGCGGCAGAAGTTGGTAAAAGGGTGGTACCTACCAAGACGGACTCCTATGCAGGAATGGTATCCTACCACCTAAAAATAGGACCTAATAGGTTTATTGCAGGGCATCCATGGGCTACACTATTTCCTTACAAATAGGTGGATTAATAGCTATTTTTTTTTTCAATTTTGTTATATCTATATTGATTGTGTTTATAAATTTTTAAACTCAATTACCTAAATATGTGTGACGGTTGGCAATAAATGGTTTTTTCTATATTTCTTTTATTTATCGCAAAAAAAAATTATGTTAACATACCCATTGTGAAGGAAAAGGTCGGCATTCGATCGCGCTCCGTAAAAGATTAAAATTTGTTCTCCAGGCTTGAAGTCACGCATCGCGTAGCATTCGCCTCTGTTCAGTTTCTTATTGTAGTCTGTTGTTATCTGAATATTTTATGAATTTTATTTTAATCCAGATAATTTTATTAAATTAAATAAAAAATTAAATAAAAAAGTTTGTATTCATAAACACGGTCTTACAAGTATATATACAATGGTAGACTTCTTCTTTTGAACGCGAAATGCGCCCGTATCAGAAGTAAGCCCCTCTTTCTTATCATAAAATTTAACTACAATTATATTATCATATACTATGATGAGTGAGTTTTATAATTTTCACCATGTGGTGGTAACATAAGAAAATCCATCACTAAATCTTTTCCCGTGTATCTTATGATGAAATGAGAAATGAAGTAACTGTCGGTATTGCCATCTCATATTTTTTTACAATGCTAAATACCCAAGCCGATACTGGCAAGCAGCGTTAATAATGTGAGATATATGGTATCGCCATCGCGAATCTGTAGCAATTATGACATATCCTCCCTATTATTGAAAAGGCTAAGGAAAAGTTTTATTTAGAATTTGGACTCAGCGACAAGAGTGAAAGTACGTCATTGAATAAAACTAATTCCACGGACTTTATCGCGTTTAATTTTCCCGAATGCTTTAGAAACGGGTCGGGAATTAAAAAGTTAAAATTAAACGCGATAAAACCGTAAAATTTAGTGTTTGCGTAAATATAAGAAATCATTAGTACGTCGTTGAGTCTATTTCGATGATGTGCTGTTAGGAGTGAAGTTTTTACAGCTTTATTTTAGTAATTTATTACAGTTTAACAAAAATCCACTTCTGAATATAGGCCTCCCCCAATTGTCTTATTGTTCTATGTTTACCATAGTTGCCGCGCTTGGCAGGTGAGTTGGCAACCGCAGTTTTACATTATTTTCAGAAGATAGGCAACAACATGTTTCTGTAAATCTTACTGATGTTGCCCATTTCCTATTTCATTTTCTCTGTCGTTATTTGACACCCAAGGAATGATATTAGGTAGTGAATATTCTTATGCTTTCTTGTCAGGTCGGTACAAATTTTGCAATTGATTTTAAACTAACTTCTCGATGTGCTAGAGACTACACTTTAAACATAGCTCAGAACGCACTTGTTTGTTGGTTTGTTTGTCTGTTCAGTACAAATTAAGCAATCAATTTTAAGCTAAATTTCCGAGGAGCTACAGATTTCAAACTTTAAATATAGCTCAGGGCTGGTACTAATACTACTATAATTATTACTATAATTACTAACTTATAATTATTATATATATTATAACTATACTTATAATTATTTAATCAGTATCTTAAACTACTAACTACATATGCAGTGACGGCATAAGAATATTCACTACTTAATATCATCCCGTGAGCGTCGTAAGAGGCGACGGAGGTAAAAAAAAAGCCGCCAAGTGCGAGTCGGACTCGCGCACCGAGGGTTCCGAACAAATCGGTAGGTATATAAGTTTAAAATTATTAAAAATATTTTTATTATATGATGTAACTAAAAATGTATGCTTTTCGCAATTTTTCCTTTATCTGTGTTATAATACATTTCTTCGTACCAAATTTTAAGATTCTGAGTTCACGGGAAGTACCCTGTAGGTTTTGATTCCCTTGCGAATGTCGAAAATTTGCGGCATAAACGGCTGTATCTTTTGATTGCGTTGGCTTAGAAGTTTGATTTTTTCACAGACTTGAGTATTTGGTATGAATTTCAGCTTGATACCTCAACGCGTTCCTGAGAAAAAGGGTCTTGACAGACAGACAGAAAGACGGACAACAAAGTGATCCTATAAGAGTTCCGTTTTTTCCTTTTGAGGTACGGAACCCTAAAAAGGCAAGAGACGGGCAGCAGCTTCCTCCTAATAATAATTTTACTTCTTTGAAGTGAAACTTAGTAGGGTATTAAAAAAAGTCACGTTTTCTTGTAACATTTCACCGCCGGGGCTGCATAGGTATACTATTATTATGGTTTTTAGTATTACTTATGTAAAATATAAAATAAAAGAACAACGATATACCTATCATAAAGAAGTTTTACTTCGTACGCGTGTACACAATCACACGCACAATTTTTTTCTAAATCAGGGCAAGTTTGTCTTTATCGCAACGCTTGGAGAGCGAATTGGTGATCGCAGTACTAGATCTCTCGCTTTTTAGAGCAACTCCTTGTTACCGATATGAATTTTTAGGTCTGGTAACTAACAAGATCGTTATTTACCACAAGAATATTAGTATTTTGAAACGTATTTGCGCGAGACTTTTGATATAGATTTGATAAAGGAAGATAGGTTAATAGGAAGGTAGGTTATTACCGAACCTATTGTTCTACGTGGTAGATCCACGCTGCAGCGATATTATGGTTGTAGCACGAATGGCTCGGATTGACCGGGGTAGGACCACGCTCTAACAGAATACCAGCGTAAAATAGCAGCTTAATGCTGCTGTGTTTCGTATGGTAAGTGTCCAGAACCGAGACCCTTTTACTGGAAACGAGGCATTCCATCTTAGTCCTCAGGGTTGACAACGCATCTACATTTTGATTCTTAATTAAGGATAGATGTAGATGTCTATGGGCCATAATATCCACATACCATCAGGTGGGCTGTATGCTCGCTTGTCACCCATATTCTATATAAAAAAAAACCTAGAATACACTATGACAAGTTATGGACTGTTATAGATCGATAATAAAAGTTACCCGTATCTCGATTGCACCTATGCTATTGAAACTGACGTAGGTAAATAATTAAGTTTAACAATCATCATCATTGTGTTTGTACATTCTGAAAGAGATTGTGCATATGTTTTGCACTGTCGAACCAGAAATTATTTCCTGACAATGGTTCATGACGTAAGGTGACTGCGCAAGTGAATACGAAGAAGTGAATAGTTGCAGTTGAGATACCCGTAAGCAATTATTTAAGGCAACAGGCCTTTTACTGATTTGCATGATGTATTTGTATGAGGTAATGTTTGATTAAGGACCCGTAGGCGTATTACGTATCTTGCAGAAGGCTAGCGATAGCGAAATTAGGACAATAATTGCTGATAAATCGCAGATTCGTATTATGTATCAGCAATAACAAAGCTAACTAGCGACAACGCTGCCTTGTGGTCTTTAGTTAGCTAGGGCTTGGTTATCGCTGGTACATAATACGAATCTGCGATTTATCAGCAATTATTGTCCTAATTTCGCTATCGCTAGCTTTCTGCAAGATACGTAATACGCCTTCCGATAATGTTTCGTGTATGTTTTAAGCAAATGTGTGTTTCAAAATATAAGCCTTTTCCATTGTTGTAGTGCGGATGAGGCTTAATCTCCGCGCTTGGCAAGCGGATTGTCGATACTAGTATCAGATACTCTTATTTTGTAGCTGTGATGCTGCTAACCCGTCGCCAGTCTGGCCAATTTCACGTCTAGTGTTATACCACCATATATCGGTACCTGCGATATTTATGGCATATCGCCAAGTCTTCTCCTACGTCATCCACGGGACGAAATGTCTGTTATATTAAAGTTATAGTATTCCAGATGTTAGAATAATTTTAGGTGACACTTCAAAAGTTATCGTAATAACATGAGTAAAGCTGTTTGGTTATACAATAAAATTACCATAAGTTTACCTTGCCCTGCTCATGGTTGCACATATCCCAGAGCGGTATGAATGCGGTGGTCGTGGTGTCTGCAAGCTGGATTTTATTTTGCCGCGTCATCACCGTTGAAACAGCCCATCTGAACATAGAATTTATTATTTATTTAAAAAAAATTAATTTGTCATAATCATAATTTAAAATTAAAAATTTTGTATAACCAAAATCAATATAAATTATTAATAATAACTAAAAAAACTATTGGTCAGACCCTGATCAAATTTATATGGAACCACATGTGACACCAGCTTTCATAAAAATTCATAAAAAAAGAATCATCGAAATCGATTCACCCAGTAAAAAGTTCTGAGGTTAACACATAAAAAAACATACAGTCGAATTGAGTACCGTCTCCTTTTTGAAGTCGGTAGAAACTACAGAATCGTTGACGTGTTTGTTATTCATGTAACTTCAGCCAGTTAGTTTCTTATAAAAATGTATAAATTAATAGAAGTATTCCAAAAAAGAAACATGTTGTTCAGCATTTGACGTTCGATGTTGTTAATCATTTAATTACGTTATCTTGAACACATTTTCCAGTATCTTCCGAAATATATTAACTGTCGGTATATACTCGTAATATAGTAGACAATGTTCGCGTTTATTCACGTACACAGTTCCTTCGTTCACTTTTAAACAAATAATAGTTAAATATAAGTTTAGAGAATGGAACGAATACATTTTATTTATATACTTTTATAATAGCGACCTGCCCAGGCTTCGCCTGTCGTTGTTTAGATTAAAGATAATCGAAGACCATTTATCATATTATCATTTTTTAGTTTTACTTACTACTATTCTGGACATAAACCTAGAGTCCAAGAATTAAATAATAAACAGAAACGCTGACCACTGGCCAATTCCAAAAGAATAAGCGTTCAAAAGTAATGCTAAATTTATTGTACGTACTACGTCAATCATATTGTGGCGGTAGGAAGGAAAAGGGGAGATCTCCCGCCGGACAAAGTGTTCTGCCCGGGGAGTGGCCAACGCTCCGAGTGGTAGTTCGGAGCTATTCTATATATGCTGCTTTAAATTCGGAACTTTGTTAGCGCGATTTAGGCTTCGATGTGTTTCGCTTGTGGCGCGACGACAGCGCCGCCACATCACCCCCCTGCTCAGACCGGAGGTCGATAGTGCAGTCCGATTGCAAGTGCCAGGGATTGCCTTGAAGTCTGCGGTGAGTCGAGAAGAAGGCAAGTAATCTGCGAGAGTGCCGTGAAGCAGAGGCGAGCAGTAAGACTCAGAGCCGTGCCGAACACTGTAGCGCAGAGAGTAGCTTGAAGGAACAGGAAGCATTATTATACCACTGCTGCGATGAACCTTTCTAATGCTAGATGGCTTGCAGAATGTGAAGACTGCAGACAATATCTGCTCGAGAGTGAAAGAATAGAGTAGGTACTTGAGGATGATGAAGGTTTGAAGTTGTATTTTCCGAAGGTTGTTGGTTGCGTGTTCATATCACGTCGGAGTCACCACTGTGGCGTGGAAGGAAAAGCGGAAAAAAGCAAGGTGCTCTGCCCGGGGAGCGGCCAACGCTACGATTGGTATGCGACTGCGTCACAATATTGTTTATGTATTATAGTTATAGTTTATATGTAATTTATTTAGTTAATTGTAGTTTATACCTAAATAGATAAATAAAGTTGTCTATCCATTCTAAATAAATAAATAAAATGCCTGATGAACATGCAATAAATTTACATACTATTTTTCTTTTAAATAATTATATGGTCACTAGCGAAAAATACAGAATCTCAAACTAGTTGAGTAACAAAGCAATTATGTAATATAGAAATTAATACGATTCGTCGAAAGCACAACACCGCTGTGAACACAATTAAAAGTAAACAATTAATTGTCTTACGACTCACAAGAACGTTCCCTTTAATTCATTAGTGTTAGTTTTTGTTTTTTTTTTTAATGAGAAATTATAATGCCTATTAAAATAATATCTTGATATTACGTACACATACTGCTGGGGCACTTTTTTTTAATATAAATATGGTGACAAACGAGCACACAATTCACCTGATGGTAAGTGGTTGCTGAGGCCCATAGACATCTACATCTCTTCTCGCTTGCCAATCAAAATGCAGATGCGTTGTGGGTGACAACTAAGATGGAATGCCTCTTTTCCAGTAAAAAGGGTCTCTGGTTCTCTACACTCACCATACGAAACACAGCAGCATTAAGCTGCTATTTTACGCTGGTATTCTGTGAGAGCGCAGTCCTTCCCCGGTCGAGCCGACCCCTTTGTGCTACAACTATACTATAAATATAGCTGGAGCTTGGCGCTACCACGTAACCTAATACTACTATTAAATTATGTGTAGAGTCAACAATGTAATTTCCCCTAAAATCAAAATTCCTACAGACAATATCCCCGCCATCAACATCATCATCATCATCATCATCATTACAGCCAATCAAATCCTACCGCTGAACAAAAGCCAATTGGAAAAATTATTGGCTTTCGAGAAAAACATAAACTGAAAACCGACATTGATTGATTGATTGATGCATTGAGCTATGTCTGAACAACACTATGTAAGCTTAAGTGGCAATGGGTCGGCCATATAGCTCGAGGAACTGTCAAACTGATGGGGAAAAAAGTTTCTTGAGCGACAACCTAGCACCGGTAAGCGAAGTGCAGGATGGCCCCCCGCTAGAAGGAATGACGACTTTGGAAGAGACGCGGGAAGTCAAGTGGCTCAGGACTGTATTTTGTAGTTTAACTTGGGGACGTCAAATTTTTTTTTTTGCGTCTTTAGTCGATTTTTTTCCCTTTTTATAATAAAACTTCAGAATTTGTTCGTTAGATTCACTCATTTTGGCGAACAGAAAAACAATTGAAAAATGGCGGGAAAGTGTTTTATACTTTTTATTTTTATTTTTCTTTTTCTTAAATGTCCTATATGTATTGATATTAAAACCAGATACAAACAGTACAACCAGAGATTTTTCTTAGAAACTTTTTGTAGTACCTAAATCTACTATTTTTTTTAAAGTAGTAGATTTAGGTACCTACTACTACTACTGATAATTGTATATTTGGCATCGGTAAACGAATTAAACCGTATCAAATCGCAACTGTCAACAAGCTACCGGACGGACAAAAACGATATTTTCATAACAGCACAACGCTTGAATACGCACCGGACATTTATGAATGTTTCCTGCTTTAAATCATGCTTCTTTACTAGAAGAAACAACGCAAGTTTTGTGTCTGTTAATGCGACTAAGTTCATTCGCCGATTATAATTCCGCGCTCCATCTTTTTAAAATTAAAAGCCACGTCACTCCATGTGCCGTGGTAACGCAAGGGCTAAACGCTCGCCGTAAATTTCGTACAAAGTTAACAACTTGAGTTCGATTCTCGTCGGCACCAATGATATAGTTAATTGAAATTTTAAGGCGAAAGAGGATAACAAGTCAAGGGGTTGTACAGCAACGTCTTCCTAATAACAACTAAAAATAAAAACTGCGGTTGCTAACCCATCTGCCAAGCGTAGAAACTATGGCAAATCCCCCAAAGAGTCAAACTATAGGGGAGGTCTATGTTGAGCAGTGAACATTTAATAGTAACGGTAAGAAAAAAATTCTTTAATCCGAGGATTTATGTGAAATATGTCAACACGAATTGGAGCAGGTCAACGGAATAATTTCTTCCTAACCCTCCGAGGAATGCGCGGAGGCCCGTGCTCGGCAGTGGGAGGTAATTAGGCTATAGCTTTACTAGTTTTATTAATGTAACGCTATTTGTAACTGTAACTATTAACGTTATTAATAGTTACGGTTCCAAATAGCGACTACCAAACTGGTTTTAATTGATTGAAATTCTATCAATCAAATTTGGTAGAACGATTCCCATTCATCATAATTCATACATTTTACTGGTATTACAATTAATTGCCTTTCGTAATGACTGTCATAGGAAAATCTACACACTGACGATCCTAAGCAGCAGTAATCGACACATAACTACGTGCATTAGATAAATAGATGTTTATAATAACTGAAGAATATGATGTAGTGACAATCCACAACATCATATTCTTCAGTATATAATATATCACTATAGGACGTTGACAAATTGAAAAGTTAAATATTACTCCAGTTATATTATAAAGTGAATAATTGCAAGGTTATAAGAGAATACTTATAAGGCTAGTAATGATGTTTACGATAAAGGAAGGTTATGAGATGGTGAATTATCCCATGGAACGTTAACAAACTAAGACTAAAAGTTAAATATTACTCCAGTTACCTTACTACGTGAATAACTGCTAACAAGGTTACAAGAGAATACTTATAAAGCTAGTAATGATGTTTATAATGGGTGTTTTTTTTAGAGGTTTTAGAGGTTTTATAGAACTTTGAAATGGAATAAAACAAACATGTTTTTTTTTTTATTGACATGAAATTTACTTTATTCGAAAGACAATCTTCTGGCATTATAATTTAAATATGACTTCTGGGATGTGACCGCCACGGCTGGCTCGGACGTAGTCTAATCTGGAGGTCCAATTTTCGATGACTTTTTCCAACATTTGTGGCCGTATATCGGCAATAACGCGCCGAATGTTGTCCTCCAAGTGGTCAATCGTTTCGGGCTTATCGGCGTAGACTTGCCACTTCACATATCCCCACAGAAAATAGTCAAGCGGCGTTAAATCGCACGATCTTGGAGGCCAATTCACGGGTCCGAAACGTGAAACTATGCGGTCACCAAACGTTTCCTTCAATAAATCAATTGTAGCACGAGCTGTGTGACATGTTGCGCGGTCTTGTTGAAACCACAACTCCTGCACATCGTCGTTGTTCAATTGATGAACGAAAAAGTCAGTAATCATCGCTCTATAGCGGTCACCATTGACTGTAACGTTCTGGCCAGCATCGTTTTTAAAGAAGTACGGACCAATTATTCCACCAGCCCATAAAGCACACCACACAGTCAGTTTTTCTGGATGTAACGGTGTCTCAACATACACTTGAGGATTATCATCACTCCAAATAAGGCAGTTTTGTTTATTGACATTCCATTCAACCAAAAGTGAGCTTCGTCGCTAAACAAAATTCGCTTATGAAAATCGGGATCGTCGGCAATCTTATTTTGGGCCCATTCACCGAATCTACGCCTTGCTAGGTGATCGCAAGGCTTCAATTCTTGCACGAGTTGGATTTTGTAAGCACGCAAACCAAGATCTTTCCGCAAAATCTTCCATAAAGTGGATGGACACATATCCAATTCCTGTGCACGATGGCGGATAGACTGATTCGGGTCTTCCTCTACGCTACGCTCTACAGCAGCAATGACTTCTTCTGTACGCACTGTACGATATCTCTGTGGATGCGTATTATCATGTAGAGTAAACGTGGCGCGAAAACGTCCCATTGTTAATCGAATTCATTGCTCTGATGGACGATTATGTTGACCGTAAAATGGACGTAATGCGCGATACGTATTTCGAACAGAAGCGTTGTTCAGGCGTCAGTCTATTCATGTTGAAATGCCAAAGCCAAACCAAACTAAACATAAATCACTTGACAGCTGACAAAATGGCCGCCAGTTAAAAAAGTGTTGCCAACTTAAAGTTCTATACCTCTAAAAAAAACACACTTTAATAATGGAAGGTTAAAAGGTCGTGGATTGTCCTATGGGACGTTAACAAATTGAAAAGTAAACTCCAGTTACCTACCTACAGTTTACTACGTGAATAACTGCTAACAAGGATATAAGAGAGCGTCTAATTCATAGGTTTTTGGCACAAAGCCAACTGGTGAGGTTACGCGTAATATTGCGCAAATATGACTCCGTTGAAAGTGACAGAGAATTGTCTCTGGAATTGACATAATGTATATATTGACCGTAATACATTATGTTAGAGAGCGGTTCTCGTAATTTATTCTCTATTATTTCACAATGAATTCAGATTTAGATTCGTGCTCAAACATAAAACAATAATTAAAGACTTTTCTTCAAATAGTAACAGACAAACTTGTCTGTTACTATATTAAACTCTGTGTCATATTAAATTTGTGCATATTGATTTCATGCACGAAGGAAAGTAAAAGTACGGTCGTGTGAAACTAACGCAATCACAACAATGACCCGTTACTGGTGGAAACCCCATCCGACGATGGAACACGTAGAAAATGAGAGTTGTAGTTTGTTAGTTTAAGGTTTGTTTACAATACATAATTCACATCATTACTTAAGTCCACCCGACCGTCGTGTTTATCCATGATTCGAAAACAATAAAAAGTTGAATTTCAAATTAAGTCTTGATGTTGCTGTTTTCTCACTACTTTCGTTCTATCGTATCGTATCGTATCCAAATTTAAGGTTTCCAGACTTGAAGGAACTTCTAAGTAATAAGATTACCCAAAGATGTATGATTTCCATTCACCATTAGTAGAATGTTTGTACACAAATTTTCTATTTTAAATGAAAAACAAACGTACAGTTCACCAGATGGTAAGTGGCCACTGCAGTCCATGGACACCCGCAGCGAATATCAAACAAAGCATCGATATATATGTACTACGCAATAGATTTCGCATTCCGAAAATCGAATATGTTCAATTGAACTATACTGTAATCCGTACACTAAACTAAATATTGCGTAAATTGAAGATTTGTGAATTCCATAAGATAATTATTATTACATTTTATTTAGAAATATGTTTGTTTAGATTAAAATAAGAGTATTTTATACTAAATGCTTATATTTATTTTATATTAAATTAAAGTCTTCGCGCATACGCAACTCTACTATCTCCGGTGCATGCGCGAAGACATAGAGTAGCGCACAATTTATGTTTGGAATAGCTTCTCTAGTACGTAGTACATATAAATCAATGCAAACAAAAGCTACAAAAATGCGTCGTCATCCCTGAGGATTAAGATGGAATGATTTACAGCCTGTAATTATAGCAGCTCTCTATAATCTTCAGACCGAAAGCAGCAGAAATATGTAAAGGAAAGAGACTGGTAGGTACCTACACAGACGGTATCCTAGACAGAAAAGGAACTACCTTGTAGGACTGTGTCTGGTAGTAATTAAAGAAAATTTTGTTACTTAAATTTTCTTTAATTACTACCAGACACAGTCCTACAAGGTAGTTCCTTTTTTCTAACATACAATCAGGTAATGATACGATTTCTGCAAGAAATAAGTATTTGTATGGGCTTCAAATAATTGTTACGTCTCCGGCTGTATATTTAACTGCCATTCGCCTCCACGGTACTGGGTGTTCTTAAGGTATCACTTTTAATTTTAAAAAAATCATTCAATACATTCAATCATGCACAACAATAAAATAATACATAATTTTACTGTGCATGATTAAATGAATTGACGTGATCAATGATACATTATTTTTGTTTTGTTTTGTGTTTTTTTTTTGTATCAATAGGATTTGCGGAAGACAATCGCAATCACTTATAGAAATAAGTAATCTTAAACTAGAGATAGTTTGTGGTGGCGTCAGTGATGCGAGAACCGCGGCTTTCCAACTTAGCCGATGATGAAGCGTGAGAAATTACAGGCTTTACCTCGTAGAGTGCTAGAAATGGCGTGAAATTATCTACTAAGATCTCTAATGAACCAAATGAACGAATACACTTTTATATTGTACATCGAATTCAAAGTTGTATGTTTCAAGACCTCGTGTGAACGTTCATGCATAATAACATGTGCATATTTGTTTGAAAATAAATTGTTTATGGAAATGTATGTAATTTATACTATTTTTATTTTCGTTTACTTATTTTTTTTATAGGATAGGGTGACAAACGAGCACACAGTCCACCTGATAGTGGTTGCTGAGAGCCCATAGACATCTGCATTTATTATGGATCCTATTCAGGTAAACCCGGGCCGGATCGCCAGTTTTTTTTTCTTGTAGGAGAGGGTGAAGAACGAGCACACAGTCCACCTGATGGTAAGTGGTTGCTGTGGCCCATAGACATCTACATTTATTATGAATCCTATTCAGGCGAACCCGGGCCGGATCGCCAGTTTTTTTTATAGGAGAGGGTGACGAACGAGCACACAGTCCACCTGATGGTAAGTGGTTGCTGTTGCCCATAGACATCTACTTTTGTCCTCGTTTGCGAATCAAAATGCAGATGCGTTGTCACCCGTGAGGACTAAGATGGAACGCCTCTTTTCCAGTAAAAAGGGTCTCCGTTTCTCTACACTCACCATACGAAACACATCAGCATTAAGCTGCTATTTTACGC